AGTTTGTTACGAGTGAACCTGTAGCCTGCGCTACGAGCGCCCGCGCAAAACTGTTGTGATAGCGCCGGCGCCTGTGGCGCGGGCGCCAAGCGTTTTCGCTCTAAACCGGTATTATATTCGTGATCTACGGGTCAAATTACCCCTGAAGGCAAGTTTCTAGCCAAATCCACAGTCATGGACGAATTTCGATCAAAATCCGGCTCAGTTCTTGAGGAGTGGGGCAGTAAAGGGTAAATAGTGCCAAATTTTCCAAATTCTTCAAAATATCCACCGCTTAGTTCTACATTTCAGCTATTCTATTGTAAATCGAGAAATTTTATTAATGCAAACTTACTTGATTGAGCCATTGCTGTCAGTATACACGAATCCATAAAAGCCGAGCATGCCTTCGATGATAGCGCCAGTATAGCCTATCTGCAAGCACAACGTTATTTGATACGGCACCCTTTTCCCACTTTTCGGTCGCGTGGGACGAACGCGATTTTGTGGGCGCCGCGCCTCACCACATTTCGCAGATTTTGTTTTGTAAATGAACAAAAACATGAATGTCACAAAATAATTTCTGCAATGTCCAATGCGTAAAGATTATCTAAAGCATATAGGAGTTGGATTTCGGTCAAACGAGTAAGTGGTAATGAAAAGGCTACATTCATTCACTTTTCTCGCAGTGGAAGTCAACGTCGTTTTTCACTCTATTGTTTTGATTTACCCACTTATCTTCCCATTCATAGCACTTTGTCTCTACTTCTGGGTCTCTTTTCATCAAATGCTTATGCAAGAAGGAGTAAGGGAAACATACGACCTAGAAAAACTTTCCTAAAATGAAGCATATGTAACCTTTCAGTGTCCCCCCTCTTTATAATCACAAAAGGAACTTGATCGTGTTTGACGTTAATACGGGAGAAAGCGGGTGTTGGTGGGGTGGGAAATGTGCTCTCCATTGTGCTCTCCAATACAACAATAATAATGAAGGCGTTCATTACTGTGGCGACACGTAATCGACTCATTTGGAGTATACCTCTGCTAATTAGGAAAGGCATTCAACTTCTCATGGGACTTCAAATGAAGACCTAGATATATCGGTAGAGCTTCAGACGTAGATTATAGACATGAAGCTAGAACTGCAAAATGAGCCTGCCAAGAAAGTTGTTAGTGGACAAATTTGGTCAGAAATCCGTTGCATATTAACGTGACAGCATCCTGGAATTCAGTATAATCGTGAAGTTGTGCTCTCGGTATTTGCACTATAACCGAAAGAAAGCTCATGATCTGCCGGTCAAGGAGCGAGAGCATCACCTACCCCACGGTGGCTCTGAAAGCCTGCGACTCGCACAGTTCATTTGTAACACTTTACTTGTGGTGAAATTTGACTGCTCACAACTTATTTGGCAAATTCATCCTGCAGCTCTAGATTCTAGGTTTGTATTCTAGGTATGTATATATGTATTTGTATCAGGATTCAAAGCTCTATTGGTATGTCTAGGTACTAATAAAAATTCTATGGGAAGTTGCCTCCTGCCTCCTTTCTTGCCCTGCTTGCCGTAGAAGGCATTCTACGGGAAGCATGGGAAGCAGGGCAAGAAACGATTGAAGATATCTTTGACAGGGTTATCTCGTTTACTACGAAGTGAGGTGAGAGGGTCGTAAGCGCAAAGATCAACAAGGCAGCAGCTGTGCTGCTGCCACTCACCCGCTGTGTCACCACTAATTTTACAAGTTTTTTTGGTTGGACTAAAGCAACTGGTATCTTAATGCTGCATGAAATCAAAATTCAAAAGGAAAGTGCTTGTTGCCTTGCTAGTTGTGTTGAAGATGATGACAAAGGGAAGTAGCGTGCCTTGTAAAAAGAATTGTAATGTGTTGAAAGAATGTAAGTTTGAATTATTTACTCCAATTCAGTGCAAGCGTTTAAGGAATCTTGTGAGAGCGGAAATCAGCATACATTTGAAAACGGAAAGATTTAAGCTTCTTGACATTATCACATGCTGCAGCCGCAAGTACAGGGTGGGCCAAAATTATGAGGACCGCGTGCGCGCGCGGTCATATCCACTTTTTTCCGAGTCGCTCCATTTTCATCTCCTTTTCTGTGCACTATGTGAAGGGTACAATGTCTTCTTCCTATAAAACCAAATT